AGCACTGGATTTGGAGGTCTCTCTTGACCAACAGCAGAGTTTTCTAAACACACTGGCATCTAAAACTTGGGGTGAGAGGCAGAGGAAGTAAAGGAGACATGGAAATATAACAACATGACTCACGGCCTGAAGCACAACGTGGTTATATTTAGAATCCTGTCTTGAGCACTCAATAGGTGGGAAGCAGGGCAATTGATTTCCGCTTCTGCCCCTCACCCCACTGCACACCGGAAGAACAGGGTTGGAGTGGCCTCAGATACGTGAGTTATTGGGGGTGTATGTGTCCGTGCTCACTTCTGGGAAAACCTTTATTTCCCCACAAGGCTTTGTGCATTCATTAAGGGAGCTCTTTATGCAAAGAGCAAATAGTAACCCCTGCCCAAATCCACCATCTTCTCCTCAATTATGTGTGTATAATTTAGGCAAAAGGATATCTCCTTTTGCTTAAATTTCCTAAATTTCTCACACTTGCAAGATATAGGCAGAAACGTTTATGGTATTGGGCTTTTTGAAACAGACACATTAGGAAATATTTAAGAAATGAGGAGGGGGAAAGGTGATGAACGTGGTCACTTGTCTTCCTTGCTTTAGCCCCAGACTTGGTAAAACCTCAGTGTTTTAAGAGCTGTTAAAAAGCATCCAATTCCCTGACAGTCTTCTGAATTCCTTCTATGTACTCGTAATAATTAAACAATTTTTAAAAATTAAAAAAAGAAGCATCCAGTTTCTCTATTTTAAAAACTGCCAGCTGGGCAGAGAGAGTCTCTGTGGCTTCAGCCTGTGAGAGCCAAAAAACATTTTTAATTGAACAAAGACATTGGAAAGCAAGGAGATCGATATTCAGCGCTCACTTTTCAATTTAAACATCAAAGTTGGATGCAGCTGCAATTTATCAGTAGAAAGCAAAAGCTGTTCTTTTGCCTGCTGGAGTGGCTAAGATCCTAGGCACTGAGAAAGAGCAAGCCTGCCATGGATCAAGTTGCTCTAGATGTGTTCTTGTCAAAATGGTAGCCCTCAGAGGGGCGCTGCTGCTTTAGAAATCGATGTGTGGACGCTTTGCGGGGCGGGGCGCGGGGGCAGGTCCTGGCTCCAAGCAAAGCTGTCTTTAGCTGCACTAGAGTGACACCTCGTGGTCATTGTGGAAAACACATGCTGTGCCAATCTCGGATAGAACTTCTGGGTCCCGGGCTTGAGCAGGTGGGGCTCTTAGGGCTCTGGAAACAGATTAGGATGGCAGTGACCTCTCTTCTCATGAAACGTAGTGGAGGTTGGGTCAGTTCTGGGGTCATGGGGTCATGTCCTAGTTCTGAGTCATTTGCTCTGTTACGGCTGGGAGGTGCAGGAACTTGGGGGGAAGCAAGGAATCCTGGGAGGACGCGGGTTCTAGACCCCAGGGTCCTGGGAGGCCCGTGAGTGTCGGGGCTAGAAAGTTCACAGAAGGCAATACCTTTAATTGCTGCGTCCATTTGCCAGCTGAAAAGTGAGGCAGTGCTGAGTACAAAAGACCCAAACGTGTGGCTTCCTGTAGTGCTTTCCCTGACATGAGAGAGGTCACCCCTTTCCCTCACCCCTGAGAGAGGTCAGGCCCCTAGTCTCAACAGGAAAAATCCCATGTTTGGAAGTCATTCTCTCCATTTACTTCATACAGCAGCGGGCTCGTTGTCGGGCACTGCGCTGGCAAAGTCCGCAGCGCCAACAGCACGCTGAGAGAAGGGTGAGTTAACTAGACCAACATGAACTGTGGTAACAGTTGGGTACGTTTCTTGGCCAGAAATGGGGCAAGAGGGAGATTGTGAGCGTGGCCCTCCATTGGCCGCAGACTTGGTCCAACACCAGCGTTTTCTTACTTGGGAGAGAGTTCCAAATGGGAGAGCCATTATGTCCAGGAATGGGGGAGTCCAGGAAAGTTTGCAAGGGAAAAAAAAAAAAACGTAAAATTTGAACTGATACAGAAATTGAAGGGTGGATGAGATTTCTCCAGGTTGAGAGGAGGTATGGGGGCAGATATTATAAACAGGAGGGTAGACGGGAAGTTAGAGGAAAATGTGGGCCTGGGAAGGTGGTGCTGACCCGGGGAAGCTGAGGCGACAGGTGAGGTGGAGGAGACCAGGTGAGGGATGGAGGGCTAGAGCTCTTTGTGGCTCAGAGTCTGTAACATGGAGGGTGTTGAAAAGTACCAAAGACTTGTGAGCAGGAGGCTGAGGTCTGAGCAAGGCCATGAAAGACTCACCTGGTGGTGAGTGTGGGATGTGTTGGGAGCTGGGAGAGGCGGGAGGGGGAAGGGGGCTTAGGGGACCATTGTCGCTTTTACAGCCTCTTCTGGGAGACGTTCTCAGGCCTAAAAGACCCCGTGGTGGAGCGTATTGAGGTGTTAATTGCCCTACGTGTTTTAATTATCAACTGAAGATCTTTGTTTTCTATTAAATTTCAGAAATACCAAGCAGAATTGGAGTAATTTGGGAAATTGAGGCTCTTAAACAAGCCTTGAAAAATAATCATTTAAAACTCTTTTTTTTAAAAAAGAAAAAATCCAAAATATTTAGATATGTTTGGCAGAGGGTAGGAGTGTTAAGTATTCATTTCTTCTCTCTGAGCGCAAAAACCCTGCAGATGCTGGTGATCCTAGGTTTGTTTGCTTGATTTTTTTTTTTAAAGGTCAGGAGGGGTCTCAGAAACGATCTAGTTTTGGTATGGCAAGTTGGTTTTTGTCTTGCACGCCAACACCAACTCAACAGCGTAGCTGGCTGGAGAAGTAAGTAGTCAGCTGTGTTAAGATGGATTCTAAGGCCACAAACTCTTAATGGAAAAATGTCTTGCTAGATTAGCAATGTCTTCCCTGGGGACATTTTGGGAAAACACACATACACACACACACACAAACACACACTCATGCATGTGCTATATATTTGCCATCCTTGACCCAAACCTCTTTGCGACTTTTCCAAGCTCACACAAATAGTAAAAATTCGACTTTGAAGTCAATTTGGGTCTTCCTCCATTTAATATTCATTGTTCTTTCCACTCTTGTTTACTGGATGGAGTCCCACAGTGGCCTCTCTCTTCCCTGACCTGGTGTGTGCGTGTGTGGGCGCTTTGCTCATATAAATGGAGAAAGTGCAGAGGGGCTGGCCCTTGCCTCTGCTAAATCTCTTCCTCTTCTACGTCTGTAGGGAATGGGGAATGGGCAGTGCAGAGGTCAGCTCTGCTCTTCTGGGTGTCAGCTTCCTCACAGATCAAGCAAGGGCAGTTGGCCAGCCAATCTCTAAGAGCCCTTCAAGACTGGAAATGCAGTCTGTGAAATACAGCTCTGGAGGCACAGTCCCTCTCATGCGCTCTCCACAGAGTCGGTACTTCACTTTCAGTTACTGAATTGAACTAAAGTGGAATTTCCTCCAGGATGGCAACATTTGGCACATTTTACAGAAAGAACAAGGAGCAGGGCACCAAGACACAACTTTGGACAACACTGTTATCTTGGACTCTGTTCTTTTAATGAAACTTACTTTCCCTCAATTACCCAAGCATGGAACTGGCAGATCCCCTGCTCCTTTGCTTTTCTGTTTTCTTATTTTCAGCCTTCTGATCTCTGGACATTTCACAGATTCTTAGTCCCTCTACCCAAAGGCTAAATCTCAGGAGATTTATAACAAACAGAAGGAAGCATATGGAGTTTGTCGATCAGAAAATTTGAGGTCTTAGAGGGTGGTTAGGTTTCTACCAAAGTTCATGGTCCCCAAAGAACCCAAACTGCCTTTGGTGGGTCTGTCACCTTGCTTTTGGAAAAACCCATTTGCACTGCACAGGGCCAGCTACATAATTTGCGGAGCCCAGTGGAAAACGGAAATGTGGGGCTCCTTGTTCAAAAATTATTAAGGATTTCAAGGTGGTGACAGCAGAGCATTGAGCCAATGTAGGCCCTTTGCAACTGCCCAAGTTCCATGCCCAGAAAGCCACCTGAGTGCCACCTCTCCCACTTCCTGACAGCAATGTGGCAACTCCATGTTGAAATTATGAATCTGAGAGTGTTCTGCAACACACTGACTTTGGGTGAATTTTATAAGAATGGCTAGTATTCAGTTATGTAAGTTGAGGCCAGGATTTTACTTGCAAAGCATGGCTGTACCACAAGTTCATTTCTCTGAAACAAGTAAAGTTTAAACACCTTTTATTTCAAGAATATTGCTTCTAGACTTTCCTGAAGCCAGAGTTGTTCTATAAAAGTATCACAGAATATTATACAAGATTAAAAAAACACGGTATGCTTCCTAATAACTTGAAATCTTTTTACAAAGCACATCATTCATGACCATAAATATGTTTATTCTGTCACCCAACCGATGACACACATATCTGAGAAGCAGCTAGTTAATTTTAAAATATGTACAGAGTCTATGATAAAGACTTAAAGTTACCAAAGATTCGACTATAACATATTAAATTTTCTTTAAAAGAGTTTACCTTAAACACTTGAAGAAAACAATTTATCTAAGCAATTGAATTATCTAAAAATAAAAAGAAAACCACTGTTAAGCTAAACCAAAAAAAACCTTCTTCGGAAGCTGAATAGGTACTGATGACTCTCAGCGAGGTAATCCTTTAGCTGGTATTTAAACATCTAATACAAAACAATGATATTTTCAAGAATACATTTTCAAAAGTAATTTTGAACTATGTCTTTAAAAAAAAACCAGAACTTGGTGAAGGCCTTAAAAATATCATATAACACAATGTTAAGAAATTAATCTCCCTTATGGCATATTTAAATTATGGAACATTCATGATTTTGTTGTATTGAAAAAAAAATTCATTGTGTAAATTCAAAACTAAATATATTTTGTCAACATTTAAGGTTATGACCCAGGCCAAGAAAACAAAATAAAGATGAAACTCAAAAGTCTTCAGTCCTTTTTCTCCTGTCAAGAAAATAACTAAAATTTAGCAATCCTAAACATCTGATGAACACCTCGAGGCTAGGCACAGAGAAAGCAGGTAATCTTTGTTTTGCTTATTTATTTATTTTTACCACCAACATTATTGGCCATGTCTTTCTGCTAATCAATGTTAGCAAGTCGAGGTAAAACACATGCAATATTTTCTGGCAAAAGCATATGTGAAACAATATGTGATCCATACTGTGTATTGTCCTTGGGGGGGGGGGTGTCTATTTTACTTTGTCACACTGACAGCGACAGTGAGACTGTTAAGTTTGTAAAAATAAAAGCTAAGACTAACCAAATAGACTGGCATTCTAATCTCAAAGTGCAAAATCACTGAACTAAAACTGATGGCACTGAAAAATTCCAGTGGTTACAAATGAATCAAAACTTCCTTACGCAGGCAGTGGAAGTGGGCTGAAAGATTCACTGGAGTGTGTCACGTTTTAGAAACTTAGAAAGGCACAATTCTATCCATCTTGATTGGATAACATTTATATACTCATCCCTACAATGTTCAAAAGATAATACTGTTTAGTAAAAACAAAAAGCAACCAAAAAATCCCCAGCCTTTCTCCCTACTCTTGGCAAATGCATTAGAACAAAGAGTGTCCATGTGCACGTTGCTTGCTGACCTGCACACTAACTTCTACTGCACAAATGTACCCAGGGTAGCTTGGAACGTTGGTGGCTACGATTGCCTTTATTAGTTTACAAATAAAAAAGTTAAAAAGAAATACTGTGTTCCGGGTAAGGGAACAATTTGATCTAACCGGAGGAGAGCGGAGAGGAGGCACTGCCTTCCGGATGCTGCAAGCTGTCCTCGTGCCCCTTCGCTTGGGTCAGCACCCTCTCCACTACGCTGGGATCAACAGGCTGTTCCACCGTGGACACACTGAATGTCTGACGAACAGAGGTTCTATCAGAATGCACAGGAAGATACAGCTGATCTTCAAAAACATCTCCCAATCCACCGTCCCGGGGGAGTTCTTTCTGACGCCTGCTAATGGACTGCAGCCTGGGGCTGGGCTCGAGCACCAGCTCTGTCATGCCATTGCCACTGAAATCGGTGTCAAGATGGTTTCTCTCTTCATGCCCCATCCATTTTTCAGTTTCACTATTTCTCCAGTGTTCAGAATTCAAACGATTCACTTCTGGAATGTCATTATTCCATTCAAGTTTACTCTCTGGACTTAATGTTGGTCGGTTCAAATGCAGGGTTCGAAGGTCGGCTGGCAAGGTCAAATGAGGTGCTTCCCCAACCACAGGACGTGGGTCTTCATCTGACTCAGCAGAAGCCATCTCTACTGGCACGGGGAGCTCAGCAGAGATAACCAAGAACCCATCACTTTGAGCAGGCTTAGTCTTACTCGTTTTATTTTGCTCATCGTGACTGTTCAGCAGTGCAAACACTCTATCTACATCCTTCAAGTAATTAGTCCAGTCAACCAGACTAAGTCTATAGTTTTGTCTGTACTCATAGATGCTTTCATTCACACTGTATAGGTCCTCCAGGCCTCGCCAGTTGATGTCTGCAGTGAGACGGGGCAGATTAACCTTCCCATCCATCCCATAACTGTCCTCTGTGAAAAGAGAGACGAGGGTGAATCATTAATGGAGAAAATGTTGCCTACTTTTCTGGACGAGCAACTTACATTGTTTTTACAGAGCAAATCAATTAAAAATATAACGCCAAAAAGCATTTTCCCCTAGCAATTTGGTATTAAGGAGTGGCCTTAGGTTATGAAAGTGATTGGACGACAAAAAATTGGAATAAAGATCAAATGCGTGCCAACTTGTATGATTAAACACGGCTGGTGCTGGAGATGGTGCTGTCCCCTCAGTCAGGGGACTTATGTTTCACTCCTGGCCCCACTGAAATCAACTCTGTAACCAGGAGAGCATGTGAGTGAGTCTCTCTGAGTCTGGGTCCTTCATCTGTTAGGTGTAGGAATAGTTGTGTGATAAAATTGTTACTACTTATAGGATTCTGGGTGAATGCCTAATTTTAAAGCATTTTAATATAATAGGCAATGCTTAATAGGATACTTTTATTTTATATTCCTTGACACTCATAATAAAAACAAACTTGAATGCTATTAAACTCTTCAAATTAAATGCTTGGATCTGGTTTTTTGACCTACAAGTTTATTTATGTCCTAGATAAATCTACACACTTGATAAATTAGTCTTTGAGTGGTTTTCACATTTCCAAGAATACACCAGCTTTCTCTCCCTCAGCTCTTTCTCCATCTCTAGGATGACAACAGTCCTGCAGAAAACACTTATTTTCTAGCTGTGCCCAATTACCATTTAGAAAGAAATGGTCTAGATTAATGCAATGAACTACAAAACACTACAGATCAGCAAGAAGAATAAGTAAAACTATACAAAACCCACACATCAGTATAACTAGAATATAGAGAATTATACAATCTTCAGATCACCTGTAAGTAAACAATAGTTAATACCAAATCCCAGCAGAGCTGGATGTCACGCTTTAGCCACAAGCCCTGGGAAAACAGGATGGAAAAGAGAAGAGGCGAGAGAGGACGGAGTCTCAGATTGATTTGAAGCCACTGCTGGAAAGAACATCGACCTTAAGGACAAGGTAGCCTAAGGAGTCCTGGTCAGTCACAGCACTGGCAGGGAGGATGGACTGAGAAGTCTTTGAAAGACATTGCTTTGGGCAGAAAAGGATACAAAGGAAGAGGGAAACACCCTTTGGAAATTGGGTGGAAAAAGAAGGAGGAAGCAAAAAGGGGGTAAATTTCAGGTCCTGAAAGAAAAAAAGAGAAACAAAATATTGGAGGACACACAACCTCTCCCAGCCCCACCCCCACCTGCACCCCCAAATAATAATAAAATAAAAAGGTAAAGAGAAAGTGTACTTAGTTACACTGACAGAAAAGAATCCTCTTAAACTAGGAATCTTGTAAACACTCTAAACCCATGAAATAAACACAGCCTAAATCTGCAACAAAGTGACTCTAAAATAATCTGCCCATAGCCTTCTGCAGTCTCTGGCTCTCTCGTTGGCACTATGTGCCTGACAGGGTGTGGGGGGCATTGGTCTCCACTATTTTATTCAAAAGAATAAAAAATTTATCATCTTAAGAAAATGCCCTCACCAAAATAAATCATAAAGTGAAGAAAACCACAACATACCAGTGCTAAGTGAATTAAATGTTCTCAATCGAGCATCTGAGGATGGAAAAACTGTCTTAAATCAGAAATTAAAGTATAAACCAAGGATCTTATATCCAGTCAAGCTCTCCTTCTTCAAGTAGCACAGCTAAAGAAAAATAGTTTGAAACACGTAAGAATGCAGGCAATGCTGCGCACATCAGCTCTTCTTGAGCAATCGTCTCCAGCAGTGGTCCCCAGCCTTTATGGCGCCAGGGACTGGTTTCACGGAAGACAATTTTTCCACGGATGGAGGGGAGGGATGGTTTCAGGATGATTCAAGCGCATTACATTTATTGCTCAGTCAACCCTCTCTGCTAATGATGATCTGTACTTGCAGCTGCTCCCCAGCACCAACATCACTGCCTCAGCTCCACCTCAGATCATCAGGCATCAGATTCTCAAAGAAGTGCGCAACTTGGACCTCTCACATGTGCAGTTTACAGTAGGGTTCGTGCTCCTGTGAGAATCTAATGCTGCCGCTGATCTGACAGGAGGTAGAGCTCAGGCAGTGATGCAAGCCATGGGGAGCGGCTGTAAACACAGATGAAGCTTCACTTGCTCACCTGCCGCTCGCCTCCTGCTGTGCAGCTCAAGCTCCTAACAGGTCCTATGGCCATGGACCATACCAGTCTGCGGCCTGGGGGAATGGGGATTGTAGTTCTACAGGATAGCTTTGTGCAACCAAGAAATCACTGGGAAAACTTCAGCAAAAGGGTTGATGGTGAGCATTAATCTATTTATCAAATCTAGGAGAAAAACAAAGGTAGAGGAAGGGTGAAAAAGTAATATATGCATTTTATAGGACAAAGTAGAAATAATGCAACTAAAAATGGGAGGAGGAGCAGAATAGATGAAAGAATACGCTCATTTAGTATGACTCAGGCAATAGTTGGGAGACAAAGGCCATTGAAAACTGACCAATGGGATAATAAAAGGTTAAGGAAGAAAACAGGGACTGAGGCATTAAAAATGTGTAAGTACAAAGGTAACCAACAGGACAAAAATACGATCCTTACTAAGTTCCAAAGGAAAAAGAGCAACCATCTTTATAAAGGAGAAACTATAGAATGAAATGAGAAACACATAGAAACAAAATAGGAGATACTCAGTCCAAGACAGATCAAAAATAAATGTTAATATTTATTGGAATATTATTAGAACCACCTAGTGGACATTTTGGTGCACTCCCTTGAGTTGGCCACTTGGGTCCATGACATGGATGGACAAGGGGAGCTGCAGCCATGCAGAGTCGGGCTAAATCTAGACTATTTCTCTTGTGCCCTCTCAGGTGCGCAATGCCAGCAAGAGAGCCAGAGTCTGCGGAAGGCTACGAGGCAGATTCCCCCGGGAAGGCCTCGCACACAGGGGGCAAGTGGATTACACTGGACCACTGCTGGTGGCCCCCAGGGCTATACATGGGTCCTGACAAGAATAGACGCTTTACTCCAGATGGGGCTTTGCATACCCAGTGGAACATTAAATGCTCAAAATACCATGAAAGGATTGGAACAGGAGATTCTGCACCGTGTTGGACCTCCAAATTACATTTCTTCAGACTAAAAGACACACTTTACGGCCACGGTGTCCAATAGTTGGCAACGAGACTTCACATCAAATGGACATACCATGTTGCACCTCATCCTAGAGTAATGGTGCAACAGAGAACTGGAATGGTTGCTTAAAACGTTTGCTGTCTAAAATGAGGGAGAGAAAGGCATGCAGGGCTGGTTACACACGTTCGTGCTCAACATGACAGGGATACGGGAGGGGCCCGCGGGACAGATTTCTCTGCTTTTCAGGAAGATACGGAGGAGAGGGTGCAGGAGAGGATGCCGGTGTGACTATGCAATTCTTCTCCACATTGCCCCAACTTTCTTTTTCCTACCTGGTGCAGGGACACAACTGCAGGTGCTGGAAGCGAGATGATTACTAAGCAAGAAACTGTGTATTTTAAAACTGTGTCAGAATTCCTAAGGACCTAGTGGGGTGGGTTGTGCCTTCACTCCATCTAGCAAAATAGGAGTTGACAGTGAATGTGGGTACATTGCCGGGTGGTAAAACAGCTCACTAGTTCTGCACCTACGTAACTCTGTCCTATCTGAATGGGAGCAGACAGAGTGGGAGGTACTTGCTAGACTAGTATTGCTAGACTAGTAGTGCTGCACTCCAAACTCCACGGGGACTGAAGCTTCTGCACTCAGGACTCTTCTGGACCTCACTCTACATACCTCTTCATCTGGCCGTCCATTTGTATCTTTTATAATATCCTTTATAATAAACCAGGAAATGTAAAAACAATCATTGACATATACAAAATCAAAAACACAAGAGACTACATTGCAGACCTCAGTGCAAATAAATTTGAGAACCTTAGATGAAACAGATAATTGCTCAGGAAAATAGTTTATCAAAATTGACCCAACAGAGATAGAAAGCTTAAGTAGAACAATTTCCATAGAAGAAAAGGAGAGGTTATTAAAGAACCACTCTATGAAGAAGCACCAGGTCCATAGAGTTTTCCAGGAGAATTTTACCAAACTTTCAACAAAAAGAGAATCCTGCTGCTGTATAAAATGTTCCGGAACATAGAAAACCAAAGCAAACTTCCAAACTCTTTTTATGAAGCAAGTGTAAGGTTGACAGCTGTGATGGGCAGAATAAAGGACCCCCTGACCCTCAGAGATGTCCGCATCTGAAGCCCCAGACACTGGATTTGTTCCTTTAACATTGCCAGAGGGACTTTCCAGGTGTGATTAAGTCATGGATCTTGAAATAGGGGGACTATTCTAGAGTATCTAGGTGGGGACAATCTCATCACAGGGGCCTTGTAAAGGAAAAGGGGGACAAGGGGGCCAGAGAAGAAGATGTGACCCCAGAGAGCACTGGAGAGAGGGAGGACGAGGGAAAGGAGTGGGGGGGAGGGACTGATTTGCAGATGAGCTACATTGCTGGCTCTGAAGACAGAGGAAGGGCCATGAACAAGGAATGCAGGCGGCCACTAGAAACTGGAAAAAAAGCAAGAAAACAGATTCTCCCTTGAGCCCCCAGAAGATTTTAGCTCAGTAAGACCCATTTTGGACTTCTGCTCTCTAGAAATATTGAGAGAATAAATTTATGTTGTTTTAAGGCACTGGTACTTTATTATAGCAGCAATAAAGAAACTAACACAGTATCTAAAAGATAACGTTAGCACAAACAAAAGGAAATTACAGACTAATAGTGTTTATAAATATGATGCAAACATCTTAAATATACTGAACAGAATTCAATATTATATTAAGAAAATAACACACAATAATTTAGTGGAATTTATTCCAGGGTTGAAAGGTTGATTCATTCTTAGTAAATCTATGACTATAATGTTCCATATTAAGTTAATAGATTTAAGGAGAAA